CGCGAGAGTGGGGAGCGGGAGCGGTGAGCAAAAACCAAGCGGCTATCTCGTCTAGCGCGGCACCGAGCGCTCTTCTAATTCTCAATCTAAAGTTTTAAAAAAACTTGTAAGTACTATGTTGATGGCATTATATGTTGATCTCAATGCGCCAACCTACCAAAACATGACTTCTCGTCCTGCTTAACGGAGTCGACAGTAGCAGCAGTGTGCGCCTCTACATGTTTTAGGTAAAACTAGAACAATGTCCGTGTGTTATAACAAGATATAAATAGTCTAGTAAGTTAGCTTGTGATTTACCTGTCAATAATAATGTGACGGTGTAAATAAATGTTCATCACAATCTGTCTATAAATTACCTTATATTTTGATTACAAGTTTGGTAAGTAAATTAAGGTGATTGATGCGTTATAACAGGATATAAATATTTTAGTACGTTAGCTTGTAATTTACTTGTCAATAATAATGCAATTGTGTAAATAAATGTTTATCAAATTCTTCTCGTATATTGCCTTATATTTTGAATATAAGTTTGGCAAGTAAATTAAGGTGATTGATTATCATATACATGAAAGGTTAGACAAAGAGGTGGTGAGAAGAAAGATGAAATGAGAATCTTGCATTCTTTTTAAGTACTCCCTCTGTAAACTAATATAAGAGCGTTTAGATCACTACTTTAGTAATCTAAACACTCTTATATTAGTCTTGCATTCTTTTTAAGTACTCCCTCTGTAAACTAATATAAGAGTGTTTAGATCAGTTTACAGAGAGAGTACTTGATAAAATAGCTTAAATGCGGAAAAATAAATATCATTTAAGCTCCACGTTTTAAATTTGCTATCCATACATGACATGCCAATGAGAAGGGTGGTTGGCTGGTTTGTGTCGTGAACATTGGTCGTGGGTTCTATCAGGCTCTTCTCATTTTTTGTGTTAATTTTCGTACATTTATGCAGTACACTGGTTGACTTTCTCCGCAAAAAAAATATGAGGGTGATTTGCACAAAAATGAGTCACACATGCTCCATCACTCGTTGACAGTGAGGGCCATACAGCCTGATACATTTGCATGCGTATTTTCTGACCGTATTTACACGCAATGTGAAGTTAAATGATCATAAATTTGTATTTTTAAAGTTTTAGCACCAAACTGAACATCGGGCATAAATTCTATGACTTTCGGTGATATTACCTCTTTAGTACTCCCTCCGTTTTTTTTAGTCTGCATATAAGGTTTGATTAAAGTCAGGCTTTGTAAAGTTTGACGAACTTTATATTAAAAAATATAAACATTAACAATATAAAATCAATATTATCAGATGCACCACAAAATGTATATTCATACTATATAGTTCTAATATTGTAGGTGTTCATATTTTTTATATAAATTTGATCAAATTTTGTGTAGTTTGACTTTGACCAAATCTTATATGCGAAGTAAAAAAGAAACGGAGAGAGTATATATATATATATATATATATATATATATATATATATATATATATATATATATATATATATATATATATACACATACATACATACATAAAAAACAATACTCCTTCCATTTTAAAATATAGTGTGCCGGCGCTTCCCGAGGTCGAACTTTGACCATAAATTTAACGAACGAGACCGATTGCGGCGGGAAAAAAAGTTACATAATTAAAAACTTCTTTCAAATACGAATTCACTGATATAAATTTTACTCCCGCGGCAATTGGTCTTGATAGTTAGATTTACGGTCGAAGTTGAAGCACGGAGATAAAAGAAACACTACATTATGAAATGAAGGGAATAGTAAATAGGTTGTGCCGTGCTGGCCCGCATGACCAGCCTCTAGGCCCAGGCACGGTCCTAGACGTGGGCATGCCTGGCCCAAGGCAGGCTGTGCGGGCGTGCTCGTGGCCCGGCCCGTTTGGTCAGGCCACGAGCACGACGATGCCCGCGGGCCACGAGAGGGAGGAGAAGCAGGTCACGACGATGTCTATGCACGCCGTGATCAGGAGAGTAGAACTATACTATTTTCGCAACACGGCACTCAACCACCAGCAGAATAAAACACGCTTGTTCCACGGATCCAAGGCTTTGATTACGGGTAATCTTGGCAGACAGGCATGCAGATGCAGGCCACCATTTATCCCCCTCGATAAACAACAGTCCGCAGGACACGCGGCGGGGAGGGACAAAAGAATCTCCAGCCAGTTCATCTCCCCAAGGACACGGCATTTATTCCTTTCAACCAACCCCATTTGCCAATTTTAAAGCACCAATTCCAAAAACCTTTCACTTCAATGATCAGCTACTACCTCGAGTCATTTCACAGTGGATGAGCCTGAGAGAATGGCTCAATTCCGCAGCTCAACCTCGAGTCATTTCACAGTGAGTAGCTCAGAGAAGAGAATGGTTCAATTTGCGCAGCTCATGACCACTGCAACAATTACTCAATCTTCTCCCTTTTCCCCGTACTTGGCGAAATGAAATGATGCACTAGTAGTAGTACTCCACTAACTGAGTTAATTATCACCCTCGATTGATTTATGGTACTACTGTAGTAGTACTACGCAAATGGAATTGGCTTCAAGATGGCAGGAGCGACAAGTGAGGCAGTGAGCAACATGGCCTCCACTAACTCTTGTCTGTTGCCTCAACAAACCAACCTACCTACCTCCCTCCCCGGCCCAAAAATAAACAGCAACGATGTGCAAGGAGGAAGAGCAAAATATAGCTCTTCCTCCTCCATCATGCCAAGATCTACAAATTGGTGATAGCACTTCATCTCTAGACACGAAAATTGCAGATGGTTCTACGCTCTAGATCCACCTGAACGCCACAAGGAAAGCTCGTACTAGTAGAATTTATTTTTCTCCCGACACCAATCATTTAACAATAGCAAAGCATTCTCTTGATACAGACAAGAAAGCAGCTCAAGTTCATCATCTTACTCCAAGAAGATGAAGGGAAGAGGGGCATGCAAACTTCAAAGAATAACAAATATCTCTTCATATTAAGGCACAAATCTCTCTTATACTTTACAACAACGACGGCAACAAATGTCCCAATAGGCCAACACAGCAGCGGCAACAACCAAAGAAATTTAACTAATAATAGTAGCAGCAGCAGTATACTAGTGGCACCGCTTAAAGAACAGCACGAGAAGCAGCTTATTTTTGAACTGAGAGGACGTGATCTCTGGGCGCGGATCCGAGGCTTAGCCGCGGCAGCGGGTGATGCGGGAGCATCCGCGGTGGTAGGGGTTGGCCTGGGCGCCGGGGCGGCAGTTGTAGTAGCTGGCGCCGCGGCGGTTGCAGGGGACGGTGCCCCTGCGCAGCGCGCCGTAGCTGATGTAGCCGCGGCCCTGCAGCACGCGGCGGTGCGCCTCGGCCGACGCGGACCCGAGCTCCCCCTCCGCGTCCTCCCCGCCGCACTCGGCCACGGTGCCCCTGCACTCCCCGCGGCCAGCGCCGCCGGAGAGGAGGCCGAGCTGCAGGTGGTCCCCGCCGGCGATGGACGAGGCGGAGGCGGACAGCGCGACGGCGAGCACCAGGAGGAGCAGCACGAGGCTCCTAACGCCGGCCATGGCGCGGCGGCGGCGAGGGGTAGCGGGCGAGAATGAATGCGCGTGGGGGAGGGGAGCGCACAGCGAAGCCTTAGCTGGCGCGGTGTGACGAGAGGAGGGGAGGGGAGAGGAGAGGAGGGAGGTGGGCGAGAGGGATAAAGTGGGAAGAGGCTGGGGAGCGGCGGGGGTGGGACTGGTGAAATAGAAAGGGGTCCCAACCCCCGAGCCAAATAATAAAGACGCGGAGCGGAGCGGGGCGGAGGAGAACGGTAGCGCGGCGCGATGCGGCCGCGTTGCGACTGGATTCGGCGCGGTGCGGTGCGCAACAACTGGACACAACTCATGTGACGAGGAGGAGGAAGCGTGTCGTCGGAGACAATGGCCATGTGCAGCCAGGCAATGGACGATGAGACGAACCGCGTGGTCGTAATAGCGGTATGTGATCGGCGCAAAGCTCGCTGGATGATTAAAACCTGACTATAATGGGACGAGAGCTGTGGGAACATGGAGGATCGTGGGACGGTGGCAGCTTTTCAGGTGGGCTTTCCTGTGGTGTTCGGCCACTGTCTGTTGGCTTGCTAAATTTGTAAAGTTACCACGAGATGATGGTGCCCTTTTATGATATTACTCCATTATTGAGCGAATTTTAAGGGTAGACGGTGTATTGGAAAGGAGAGGGATGTTTGTGTTATGGTAAAATTTCGTTTAAAATTGTACTGACAATGGCCATCGCTGCAAAATCTGGACCTATTCTGTGGATTTACAAAGTTGTGCTATACGTGCAACTCTCGCGTCCCTTCCCTTGCATAGCACGCAGTTATCCAGACATCCAAGCTCTTTGTCACTGACCCTCTTTCCCTTACAAGGGCAGCAACTCTTTGCAATGCTAGTACGTGGTTTTGGCATACCAACAATTCAACATACTACGTGCTTACATTCTGGTCTTCTGTTCATCTCTGGTTTTCCCTCAACGTGCTAACCTCGACAGCACTCATGCATTTCAGATTGAATATGAGGCCGGTCATCCTTTGGCCATTCCTTCTTAATTTCTCATAGTATCTTCTTTCTCCTACGAATTTCTTGTTTTTCTTTAGTTTTGATTGCATATGGTCAACTTGCCGATGGATAGTCCGTCTTAGGGGGTGTTTGTTTCCAGGGACTTTTTTGTGTAGGGACTAGAAAAAGTCCCTTTTAGAGACTTTTTTACCAAACGGGAGAGACTTTTTAGAGACTAAACTAGGCATTTGGGACTAAATGAAGAAGACTCTCAAGGAGAGTCTTTTTGGGACTTTTTGGAACTTTTCCAACAATGCCCCTCCATGCACTTATTGACCCGCCATCCCATGGTGTGGTTTGATTGTTATTTTTCTATATACTAGGGGCAACATGTTCATTTAATAACCTCTAGAAAGGGACTAAGGACTTTTTAGTCTCTGAAAACAAACAGGGAGGGACTTTTTAGGGACTAGGGACTTTTTAGTTGAGACTAGAAAAAGTCGTAAGACTACAGAACCAAACACCACCTTAGTATGAAGCCATATACGAATTAAATACTCGATGAAGTTTTCTTCTTTTTAAAAAAGAATGGCACTTTAGGGGACCTCCTTGGTACAAAGAAAATTCATGAGATTATTGTAGGATTCTATCTTTTAGGAATTTTTCCTATGTGATGCGTTTTTTTCTTACTAAATTATATATTCAACAGAGTCCGGCAAAACAAATACATGAATCAATCCAAAACCATCTTCCTGGACATCTCTATCGCTACATCTATAAGTTTGATGATGAGTCCTAACCTTGCGCCAAGGCATATCATCTAATATGATGGCCTTCATCAAGCGACCCCATAGAGAGCCGATAGCACCAACCGGTTTACAGGACTCTCAACATGCACTGCATGCGCACGATCTAGAATCCATCGCAGTCATCTTCCATTGTTCCACTTCAGGAAAGACCAACGACCTTGCTAGACCCAATTGTCGTCGACGCCACCACGGCGCCAGACAACGCCATCATTGTGCCCACCACCGCAACGTATAGGCGGTCCGACACCATGTCCAGCAGCTTCCTGACCATTGTCGCGTCGTCGGCGTCGTCCCGAGCCCGCATAGTGTGCCGCCATGCCTCCGATTCTGCCGGCGTATGCATCCAGTGACTCGCCGTCTGCCATGCGCAGCCGACTGAAGTCGCAGCGGAGCGTGGACAGCCGAGCCACCCTGACCCAATCCACACCAAGGAATCGTGCCTTGAGGCTCGTCCACAGCTCCGATGTCGCCTCCTTCGACGACACCTGCAACAGAATGTCCTCGGCGAGCGCTCCGAGTAGGTAAGCCCTCGTCGTCTTGTTCTTCTTCGGGTCGACCGCCATCGTCGCGTCCGTCGGAGCCACCGCCCCCTACAGCCCATGCGCGTCGAGGTTGGCCTCGACCTTGATCGCCCACATAGTGTAGTTGTCACCGATGAGCGTCGGACACTCCAGGGACAACACGCTCCCTGCTTCGCCGCCGTACGGCACGAGCGACATCGATGGCGATCAACATCGAACTTTCGGTCTCACTAGTAGTAGAGGAGCGTCTAAGTGGCAATACGAAAGAGAGTAAATACTAAACAAAGCCACAAAGACTAGTTGTGCATACTAGATCATACCTCAACCTAGAACCGGATCAATTACTCAAACATGGATGAATAGACACACAAAGAGGAATGATTTGTAGCTGCCATCAACATGTTCAATCTTACAAAATACATGTGCGAGGACGGAGATGGAGATGGGTATCGACACGCCCTGCCTATGCCCAGTGCTCTGTGATGGCGGCGGAGCCTTCTCCTCCTCTTGTGTGGCCTTTGTGGAGATGGTGATGGAGGGAGAGGCCTCCCTCTAGATGAGATGGGAGAGCCTCCTGGTGACTGTGCGAACTTGTGGTGGAATGAGGATGATGATCCCGACAGCTAGGATTGGAGCTCTTCATATAGGAGGCCTCTTCGGGTCTCCTCCATTGATGTAGCCTCCTCACTTTCATCCACGGGCTCTAGGGGGGTCAAATCCCTGCACAAATGATGCCTTATGTGCCAAGGATCCCGCAGGAACAAACCGGGACGAAACCAGAGCAAGATCGGGAAGGTTCTGGCCAATTTATGAAGCTGTCTGGAGATCATACGAGCTCCCATACGAGCAGCTATGCTCGCATGGAAGGCAGTCATACGTTCTCGACTCAGGGAGCACTTCCGTATTTTTGGTCGCCATTTCGTCATACGAACTCCGGGTTTGACGTTCCTGGGCTCGTTGGATTCCTAGCAAAAATCCTAACGCATTTGTGGCCTTGGATATTCAATTTGGACACTTTAATAAATTTCAAAATATCAAATACTCCATAGGGCCTTCGTCTGATGCCTGGAACTTCTTCGGTTTAACTCCCAACTTGTTTTTTATGTGTCAAGTCCATGGACACGCCAGTACACCTACCGAACTTCTTCAGTTTAACTCCCAACTTGGTTTTTTTGATGTGCCAAGTCCATGGACATGCCAATACACCAACAAAGACCACAAAAAATAGTAAAACTAATTAAAAACTAAATAAAAATAAAAGTTGTGCAATGAACTTGGTAAAATGAGTAAACACCAAAAATTATGCATTGGGGGCATGTATAAGTGCTACATGGATATGATATGAGAGATTTTGGCACTAAAATACACTCTAAAATTATGCACAAAATCCACTCATCATATACTAATTATCATCTTGTTGTGATTACAAAGGTAAGTTTAATCAGTGTTTTCATATGGACCACTTTATTTTTCATTGGGTTCATACCGTATCCAATGCACCAGGTGATATCGTTGGATGAGAGAATCATGACGTAATGATTGTCAACTTGTTGTGATTACAAAGCTAAGTTTCATCAATGTTTTGTATATGTGTGCCGTCTTATCATCCTAATGACTGATCTTGATGGACTCGTGAGGTTCCTGCAATGAAATACTCCCTTCGTTCCACAATGTAGAAAAACATTTATATTTAGAACCTCGCAAACTTTGGCAAATTTCTAGAGAAAAATATTTACATTTAGAATGCCATGAATATATCATTAGATTCATTATAATAAGTAGTTCCACATTTATATATTTGGTATTATAGATATAAATAGTTTTGTCAATAAATTTGGTCAAAGTTTGCAAAGTTTCTGGAGGAAATGGTAAGAAATGAAATATTAAACCTTCTGGAGGCAGTTATAATCCTATAGCTGATAGTAGATGGGTAGGTCTTGTTCATTGTGTTCCTAAGAAAGGTGGCATTACTGTTATTCCTAATGATAAAAAGGAACTTATCCCACATAGAGTTGTTACTAGTTATAGGATGGTTATTGATTTTATAAAATTAAATAAAGCTACTAGGAAGGATCATTATCCTTTGCCTATTATTAATCAAATGCTAAAAAGATTATCTAAACATACACACTTATCCTTTCTAGATGGTTATTCTAGTTTCTCTCAAATACCTATTCATCCTGATGATCAAGAGAAAACCACTTTTACTTGTCCTTTTGGAACTCATGCTTATAGACATATGCCTTGGTTTATGCAATGCACCTACTACCTTTCAAACATGCATAAGCACAACTGTCATATTTTTGATTTCTGCAATAAAATTGTTGAAGTTTTCATGGACAATTCTCCATCAATGTGACTTATTTTGATGATTGCATGCACAATCTTAACAAAGTCTTGCAGATATGTGAGGAAACTTATCTTGTCTTGGACTGGGAGATGTGCCACTTCATGGTAAATGAAGCTATAGTCCTTGGTCATAATTTTTTTGAAAGAGGCATCAAGGTCGATAAAGCAAAGGTAGATGATATTGAGAAAATTTCATGCCCTAGAGATATTAAAGGTATAGGAAGTTTTCTTGGTCGTGTTAGTTTCTATAAAAGGTTCATTAAGGACATTTCTAAAATTTCTAGGCCTCTTACCCATATTTTACAAAAAATATGTTACATTTGTTTTTGATGATGATTGTAGATAT